TTATATGATCAACAATTGTTTTGAAAAGACATATAGTGCATCCCAAATCGTCTAGTTAAGCACTATTCTATAACGTTTTGTATAAATCGTGCAAGTGGTGTGTTCACACTGAAAATGAGAAAAAATTACTTTAAATACCTGAATGATGCTTAACCGAAAAAAACGAAGTGTGGAATGTTGAACTGTCGCAGATTTAATTACGTATCAGACTACGATTATATATGACAAAATAACCTTATATATTTCATACACTACTTGGTTGAGTACAGTGCATAAACTAGTGTATAAGTGCATTTGGGCCGCAGTTATAGTTTCCATATTGCATCAGCTCAACAACTGACAGCAAAAGTTAAAAACATTATGAGCAGGTCAGGGTGGACCCATGTTAAATTTAATGCGGATGAAAACGAGGCTGTGAGCGACAGCTATTGAGGTCCTAGATCACAGAAGTCTTTTGTAAAGCCGTTTCGTCAGCTGAACAATCAATACGTCACTAAACAACTGTACAATCCACTGAGCGCACAGCGTACTTCATTCCTGTCAGAATCTGTGTCTGTGCCTCACTTGTAAAAAATGAAATGGGGAGCTTGAAAAATGAGAAAAAAATCATTTTACAGGTGGTACGAGTTTTTTCATTCTTATGAAATATTATGAAGACACATCTGTAATAATGATGACTCGTTCACAAACAGGGTGCATTCTGTAGGTACATGTCATGGTGACTGTAGTTAAATGTGTTGGTATTGATGCATCTATGCTTGAGTTGAGAGTGTGGCACTTTAAGGCTTGCAGTGAGTGTGGATTGTGAATGGATCAACCTCAGTTTAAAAGTTAATCTCATTAACACATCCAACCGTGAAAGGTCTGATTCTTGCGCTAAGGCACGGCTGCGTAACATCTGAAAACGAGCAAAAGGGATTGAGCCATATGCCACTGTGTTACTTCATAACATATGAGAGAGAGGCCTGAGATAGTGTAGGAATGAGGCCAGCGTCACAATCATGTGAATGAAGCTCAGAACCGATGAGATTCACGTTTACCTGGAGCTCAGGCTAAACGCTCATAACAGAGCGTCTGATTTCTGCACAGAGTTCATGATGGGAGCCGTGAGATGCCCAGGCCGGACACAATGGTCTTTTATGCATGCAGATGAGCTGTAGTTCCTCCAAACTGTGTGTCCTTGTGTCTCCATCCTCTCATGCTAAAGGCCTCTCCACACCAGACGAAGAGACAGGCCTCTCGCTGAGAACAGAGCTTCTCATACACGAGACGAGCGTTCAAAATACAGACCCGGCCTTCACATGCTTCTGTCGGGCTATTTTTATTTCTTTTTTATGGCAAGGCGCACCGGATGAATGTGGTAAACATTTTAACTGATATACATCACCATAACTGCCCCAGATGCTTGATGAACTGTTTTGTATCACGTTTTCTCAAAAGTTCTCTACACATACAAATGAGGCACTATCTAATGAAACATGCACTAATTTGCATTCATTTCAAGAATGGACATCTGTTTTTTTAAACAGATTTATTATTTTTTTAAAATCAGAAAATACCGCCAGATAGGGGGAAAAACATGTTTTTAATGAAATATTAAATATATATCAAGCTAATTATATATGGACAAAACCCTCAGAATATAGACAGGCATAAAACTGTAAAGGTGCTGCTGAAGTGGAGAAAAAACTCACCGCCTTGTAATTAAAACCTATAGAGGTAAATAGATCAAGTTTAATAAAACAAAAACATATTTTTAGAACGCTGGGAAAATTTGAATTAAATTGTTTAGGATGCTTTCTTTCCACTAGTCTGTTCTAGACGTGTTACAGAAGCAAAACAGACCTAAATCTCAAAATTGATTATAGTTTTGCCTTAATGCAAACATTTTTTAATTAGATTAGCGGTATTAAATTCCAAAATGAATGTGACTTTCATGATCATTTTCTCCAGGATGATTTGAGCGGAGGTTCCTCGAACTTCATCAGGACATCACACTCAATCACATGACCAATGACACATCTGATTACATGTTCTCAGACATGCTGAAAGCCAGGCTTCATGAAGAATGACCATGCGTTCTGGTTTATGGGAATCACGTTGCCTTTGTGCTTCTGTCCGTCACTCGTAAGAGCAAAGGATGATGGGTGTGAAACCACACTTAGCTTTAATGTCCTGCTGGAGCCGGGTCCATGCCAGCTGTGCTTCACCAGCACCGACACACACGCTCTTCAGAGCCTCGTGCTTCTACTCACACAATGAAACAGCCCCAGCGAAGTGCTTGAGCATTAGAGCGCTCTCGAATGTTAATGTCATCTGTGAAGGTGAGCGCTGTAGCCCACGGCTCGATGAGCGACACTGACCCCGGCTACGGTTTCACTAATCCACCCTCACAGCGCCGACTCCCACGGCATTTCCTCGCCTGGAAAACCCATTAATGCAAGCCCAGCGCTCCTGGAGCGGCCGACGAGGAGATTCAGGAGTGAAGCAGAGATCCGGAGCCATGAACCTGCTGCGATCTCAAACGCAATCGCTCGTTGAAGCACTGTCTGGCAGGCGCATCAGAGTCGGCTGGGTTGCTGTACTTTGTTCAGCTGTTCATGAAGCAAAGGGTGTGTTGTGTTGTTGAGATCTTTGCTCTCTGAGTCCTGAGAGAATCCAGGCAAACCGTTAAGAGTCTAGGATCGGGATTCTGCATTTGGTTGATAAAACGGTAATATTGGGAAATGCTACCATTGAAAATAGCTGTTTTCTATGTGAATGGATTTTAAAATGCATTTTATTTCTGTGATGCAAAGCTGAATTTTTCAGCAGCATTACTCCAGAAAGCAAACTAATGTGTGAGCACAAGCCGTGATTGAAGAACTCTTCAAAATATGATTTACATTGAATGATTTCATCACCGCAAACCTGCATGACTAACTTCTGAGGAACACAAAAGAAGACGCTTTGAATAATGCGCCTGTCACTTTTTCCCATTCGATAACAATAAATAATTGTGTTGTTTCTGTCACTTTTGTGAATTTATATATATGTTTATATTATTTAATAAAAGTGACAAAAAACAACACGATTACCAAAACGGTAAATGTAACATTTGAAAAATATAAAATATATTGTAAACTATTAATAAAGACTATAACAGTGTCAAAGGCACTACTATAACACTTGCTAAATGATACGATGAATTGCACGAGGAACAGACTGGAATTGAAGTGGTTAATTCATCAATAATCTCTCTGGTATGTTTGTGACTGAAGTATAGCGGTGTCTAACCTGTGAATGAATCTTCAACTTTTCAACAAATGGCTTGATTGAACTCAGAAAATCAGGGAGAGGAAGACCATCAGTGAACAAGCACTTTCCTTTCAGTCTGTTCCTCACACAAACCCTCACACGACTTCAGAAACACAGTCACTGTCACTCAACTGAAAAGAGCGAGCGGCACATTATTCAAAACAAATCTGCGGGTCTGTTCATGAAAGGAGAGAAACAATATTTCTAACGTAGCAAGATTCCAGTACAAACGTATAGAACAACAATGTGTCCAGTAAGAAAATGGCTGATGATTGTGAAGCTGTAAATGTGAGAAAATGCTAAACACTGTGTTTTTGCTGCATTATACAGATTTAACTAACCGGCAGGTTTGGAGAATGAAACTGTTGTGGGTTAATTCTTCAGTAAAACCTCTTCATATGAGCCCGGTTTAGTCTGCAGAATCATTAGAAGGCGGTTTTTCTTTCTTTTGTGGGCTGAAGCTGGAAGAGGCGCAGCAGAAGCGAGTGGAAACATCATTCTGCAGCTCATGCGTGGGCCGCTTTGTGTGGTGCTCGGGGGGAAGGCAAGGCCTGGATTCCCAGACAAACATCGAGCCGATCCTCGCCGAGGGAGAGCAAGCAGGGCTTGAGCAGCGTTAGCGTTCAGGAGGGATGCTCTCTGATAAACACATACAGTTAAACGCTTCTTAAAATAGACTGAACTGAACATTCAGTCTGCCAGAACACAAAACCACCTCGCTCGTGCTGAACACAGAGACGTCATCAAGATATCTACAGCAGAAATCACTGCTGTCAATCATTCAGTCTGCGTAACACTGCAAACTCGCATTCAGATCCGCCTCTGACCAACCAATATCCTGCATACTTTTTTTTTCTTTTTTCAGTAAACTGGTAAAGGAATAGTTCAGCCAAAAACGAAAATGTGCTGAACATTTACTCACCCTCGGGCCATGCAAGATCAGGATGAGTGTGTCTCTTCGTCAGGTTTGGAGAAATGTAGCATTGCGTCAGTGTCTCAGCAATGGATGCTCTGCAGTGAATGGGTGCCGTCAGAATGAGAGTCCAAACAGCTGATAAAAACATCACAGCACTTGAACTAGAGCGAACGCATTCACCTGGAAACAACATGACAGCGGTGACCGTCAGTCTACAGACGTGTGGACAGATTTATGTGCAATATACATTCAAGAAAAACTACAGTAAAACAGACTCGTCATGAACTCCACAGCCACCTGCATCTCCAACGGCAAAAATAACCAGATGAGTAGTTTGAAAACAAACTTTGATATCGTCTTGTCTGAAAGTTTAAAATAATAAAAAAAACTTTGGTTTTAATCAGTCAATAAAATGTAGTTAACATGTTTTAAGATGTTGCTAACATTTCTTGCATTTTTACACATTGCTAACGTTTTCAGATGTCGTTAGCATGTTTAAATGTGCGGTTAGCCTGTTTTTTTTAACGTTATTAAAATGTTTCTATCATAACACATTGCTAACATGTTTTCCCTTGTTGTAGAATTTTTTGACACAGTATCACAGTCACAGTATTGACACGATTCAATGTAATAAAAACATTACATAAAGTAATTCACTATACGACCCGAGCTCTTAAACCTCATCGCTTTGTTACAGCACAGCTTAAACGCTAATCAGTATTCAGGACCACTATCAGTTTCACAACTTACTGTAATATACAGAAAGAACAACAGTAAGCACACCGTGCTTAACAAACACATTTTACTGGCATGGACAACAAGTGAAACACATCAAAACTGTAAAAGTGTAAAAGCTTCATTTGAAAGAAGCAGCATTGAGTTACATAGAAGATGAGACAGTATAACTCAAAACAGCAAAAGTGAATTAAAAAAAGACAACTTTAAAGTTAATGTAAAACAGGACAAATGCATACTACTTATCTAGGAAGTACAGAAAGAAGGCTTCACGTTTTGATTTCTCTTATCAGATTTCAGCCAAGGATGAGTTTCAGCTTGTGGTTTAAGGTTGGATTACAGCAGAGCTGATGCTACAGCACATCCACACTCAGCACAGTCCTCCATCCTCACACTGCTGTTACTGCAAAACTACACACAAACATCTGCCACCAAATAATACAGACTCTGTCATGTAATTCCCTCTAATCACGGTGGCTCTTTAACATAAGCATGTTGGGACAAGAATGAAGTTTTAACGTGGTTTGTGAGCTGTAAACTGTTTGAGGAGGTGACAGTGAGGTAGCTGTAGCTCCAGTAGACGGTTGCATCAGCGCTCAGACACGGACTGACGCTGCATCTCCATACACTCCTTCAGTTTATCCTCAGTCAGAGTCAGTCGCTGCTCCAGAATGGCCACCGTCTACAAAACAAGAACAGAACAGTCATGTGATTGACTGAAAGTGACACTTCCAACCTGATCTCATGTAAAAAAAATAAAAAGTAACTATGAGTTGGTGTATGAACCTGTACAATTTGTCGTGTATGAAAACAAGATTTTTTTTAGAAAAAGGCATGGCCAGTGTGGCATAAGAGATCGTACGAATGATCATACGAATGAGATGCATTTTAGCAGTATCTTGAAAATTGGGCAGGATTTAGCTGTCCGGATAGTGTTAGGAAGATCATTCCACCAGCAAGGAACAGTGAATAAGAAAGTTCTGGAAAGCGATTTTGTGCCTCTCTTCGGTTTCTGTGGTACCATCTCTGTGCTGGAAGAGCATTGCAGTAGTCCAGTCTAGAAATAACCAGGTCCTGGAAGAGGAGTTGGGCGGTCTGCTCAGTTAGGAAGGATATTCCTAATGTTGTGCAGTGCAAATTTATATGCTGGTCAGCATAGATTAGCTCATGAGTTCTGGCTGTTGAAGATTCTAGCTGGATGATGAAATTGTGCTGTACAGTTGGAGATGCTTGGAAGACTAAAGTTCTGTCTCCGCAAGATAGAGTTGCAGGTGATGACAGGTTTCATGTATGCCAAGATGTCTGCCAGGCAGTCCGAGAGCTACTGTGGGATCATCTGGCTGAAAAGAAAGATAAAGCTTCGTGTCATCAACATAGCAATGGTAGGAGAAACCATGTGCCTGTATGATGGGTCCCAGTGATGTAGTGTATATGGAGAAGAGGGGTCCTAGAACAGATCCTTGATGAACCCCCCTGACACCAGATGATGTGCTTTCGACTCTCTCTCTCTCTCTCTCTCTCTCCCCTCCAGGCAACCCTGAAGGACCTACCTGTGAGATAAGATTCAAACCAGAGAAGTGGAGTTCCTGTGATGCCCAGTGGTGATCAGAAGTTGGACAGAAGGATCTGATGGTAAATGAAGGCAGATAGATCTAGCAGAATGAGAACTGATGATTTGGAATCAGCTTTAACAAGCCAAGGGGGTTCAGTGACTGAGAGCAAGGAAGTCTCAGTTGTGAGTGACCACTTAAATCCTGATGGATTGTTGCCCAGCAGGTTGTTTTGTGAAAGGAAATGATGATTCCTGGTGGAAAACATCTCATTCAGATGTTTGAATGAGAAGAGAAAGAATGTCCATAAAGTCAAGTGAAGAGTAGGTCAAGCAGTAGGCTTATCCAAGCCTGCTTGAATGCAGTACTGCATTTTACCTTATTTAAAGGGGCATAACATTTTTTTAGTTACTGTATATTCAATTATTATCAAAAATGCCATTAGGTGGTAATTTAACACTCTGAACATCTGACTGAAACACTGCCAAAACACTGATTTTCTTTACATATGTTGTTTCATGAACAATCCATGCTGAAGTATGCAAAACAAATATATAATCCCATGAACAGGCCATTCGTTAAAATGTGTTGTTACAGTAAGAGTGTTTACGATTCATCCTGCTCTGGCCTGTACTGGGCGCCAGTTCGTGAAAAAGTGTAAAGGACAAGCGAAGTCGTTGACGTGTTGCTCTGGAGGCGGTCTTGTGCTGACACATTCTGCAGTGTGACATAACGTGGGGAGGCACAGAGCGAGTCGTTTTTGCAGCTGGATTCAATAAATGAGGAGGAGGGTTTGAGTTCCAAAGCATACTGTATAGTATGTTTTCATAGTACAATAAACTCTTACTTTCAAACAAGCAAACAAAATCTAATGCTTTAAACAGGCTATGTGATGAGGAATCAAATATGCCTTGATAACGTCATATGCAAAGATGACAGCAAATCATAACAATGGGTAGTTAAATTTTTTTATAGGGCAAGAAGCCCTAAAATATATGTAATAAAAAATGCACGATGTGTCCATGATATTGTGAGAAGCTAAAGTTTCAAAGCATCTCAGTACTGAGCTATTCAGATGGATTATGACCGCATGGAAAAGGAACAGAGCGAAGAACCATAAGGAAGCAAAATAAAGGACGAAGAAAAAGTGAGGGAGGGAAAGACATTCAGATTCAAGCGTGGGAGGGAGTCATAATCCGTCGTCACAAGAATGCATGAATGGCATCTATTTTGGCCGGCCCCAAACAGATGTGCCGTTCTCCTCGTAGACAAACCCGTTGATTATGCGGGTGGAATACGAGCCCCCTCGTTCATGGCATGAGGCAGAAACCGAACACCACATCCTCTATGTGGGGCGGAAGCACAGACGGACCCCTCAAGAAAGCGGCCTTCTCTGAGCGCGGCTGGAGAGGAGGTGAGGAATGGAGGCAGGGTGTCTCGTGCCAGGGTCAGCATGGCGTAGTGTGCTCATGGAGAGGAACACACTGACCTTAATGTAGTCTGGGGCTGGGCCATTCACAACAGCACATGTGCGGTAGGAGCACTGAGAGAGAGCGTGTCCTCGAAACAAGCTCCCCGGGAGAGATGAGCAACTACTGCTCATGTGTCGCTTTCCTTACACTCAGTCCAAGATAGAAAGCTGGCAGCTCTTGAGAGGATATTACATTAAAGAAACCAATTGTCACAACTGATTTTAATTTAATGCCATCCAAACCTCAATATCAATGCTATAACCTTGATATTCTAAAATATTCTTTCTCCCCCAAAAAATACACTCTAGGCCCAAATTTAAAAAAAATGGTTTAAAAATAGCCGCTTTTCCACTATCAGGCCAGTGTAAGACACAGATAATAGCAGGTCAGAGGGGCATACAGCCTTGGCCTTTGAGCCCTGGGGTCAAGAATCAAGCTGCGTTTCACTGTCTGGCCAGCAGCCTCAGAGTGCTACTCTAAAACCTGTCCATAACACGCCTCCATAGGACAACCCCACCATCACACCAGTGAGGGTAAGATGAATAGATAAAGACCTAACGCTCCAGCATTGATATCAGATTAATGATAAATCCTTACAGTGACAGTAATCTGTTAATTTGTGTCAGTAGTGCACATCAAACATGCTTAATAAAACTGATATTTATCATTTTCACATAAAAAGAGAACACACAGGAATGCACAAAACAAATCCATTAGGACTTTTAGGTCCATAGGCATATACACATATTTCCCATCTCACTATACTGTTATCCTTTCAGCCAGAGCGACAGAGGGAGCTCACAGACAGAAAACCGGAGTTATGATGTAATTTATTAAATATGCAGATGCAGGAGTTTGGTATCAACAAAGTCATAGAGAAGAGACAAAAGAAATATGAGAGCAAATAAATACAGGATTATAATCATATTAGCTTGTTTTTAATATTAAGTACTTTAAGCAAAATGTGGATTCATTATAGCAATGGTTAACAAGTGCAACTTTTAGCATCGCATGTAAATCTATAAATAATATATTTCTGTCTCATATGGTTATAAGATTCCCGCGGATTGCAAATGTAAGTTATTTCTGACACTCGCTGGTGTCTGACAGTGAGTTTTGCAATGAAAATGGTTTTAAATGTCTGCCTGATATAAAAACGTGAAGTAAGTAGCGGTTCTTGTTGTCTCCAGACTCAGATAAACATTGTTCATGATCACTCCTCAAGCCCCAGTTGGCCTGCTTTGGACCAAGGAAATCAGCCGGCCAAAAACCCCTGGCTGTTGGCCACAAGGAAGCCCCAACGATCTTCCCTGATCGTTGGGGCTTCCTTGATCAAGCGTGATCAAGCCCCTGAAGTGACAGTGGAGATGCCTGGTCCTGGCACACACTGGTAAGCTTGCTTTTGGCTCAATTTTGGAAATGTGGCTAATCAGGAGTGTTTCTTATGCCGAGTTCACACTGCACGATTTTAGCCCGATTTTTCACTCGCCGACAAATCCCAGAAATCGCAGGCAAATCGGTGCTCGTTCACGCGAGCGACAATCACGTAGCGTGAATTATCAAAGACGCGATCTGACGGAATCGCCGACGCCTGTGAAATATTTGGCATGCTAAATATCTGGAGCTGTCGGTGATTCACAATCACTCTGTGTGAAATTAGTTCTGACTGAAAAACACATCGGCGATGACCTACAGCCAATGAGAGAGCACGATACAGGGCAGTGGGAAGTTCGGGGAGGAGTTATATGAAATGTAGTTTGCGGACCAGTGTTGCCAAGTCCGCGATTGCCGCCGCTTGTTTTTTATGTCAGCAGGTTGAAGCGACCCCAATAACGTGATATTTAGGCCCTGGAATGTGAATTGTACTAGGAAAATTTTGTATTTTACCCCCGAACGAGATTTTTACTGGGGGACCCCCTCGAACGCAATTGGGCTATATTCAGGCTAGTTTTGAGTAGTAATTGGGCAGGGTTTGTAGCGAAAACCTGGCAACCCTGCACCAGACAGAGCTGTCTGCGAGTCTTCCTATTGTGAAGTCATGCAGTGTGTAACCTCCTGTTGTCGTTCCATCGTGCAGTGTGAACACAGCAACAACTGAACGCTACCCCAGACAGTCGTTCAGTGTGAAACCAACAGTGATGCGACGTCTTTGAAAATCGTGCAGTGTGAACTCGGCATTAGGGACATGTAAAGTCTAAGTGTAGCCTAAAATTAACCCTTAAAAGTAGCATCTCTAAGCTCATCCGCCTTAAACGCCTAAAACAAAAAGTTAACAAAACGCATCCAGATCAATGTGGCCACATGCTCAAGTAACACATCCTTCTAAATCAGTGACATTATTGTGACATTGTGCCATCTTCTGCTCTCTTGGAATACTTTTTAATAACACACTGGGAACTGATCACTATCCTTGGGTCACAGTGTTTGATGGGATTGAGCTCTGGACTCTGTTCAGCCAAATGAAGTTCTTCCACACCCACCTTGACAAACCATTTCTTTATGAGCTTCCTGTTATGCCTGGGAGCACTGTCGTAATGAACCAGGAAAGGGCCGTCCTCAAACTGTCGCCGCACATTTACAAAGCACAGCATTGTCTAGAATGTCGTGAAAAACAGTCTCATTTCATCATTATTCTGGGCCAATCAATGGCACGATGCTTT